TCCCAAAAAAATGTGAGAAACACACATCAAAATATTCACACTCGTCATTAAAACATGGTTACTTAGAAATACTCTATGACTCGTAACATAACAATGACCCCAGAACAAAAGAAAATCACAGTGGCACTAATGGCCTTGCTCATGTCTATTTAATTACTCCCTGTATCTGGACAGTTACACATTTGATACATGTATACTTAATATTATCCTATGAGTCATCCTAGCAGGTATGGCTTCCATGACACCCCCACACTAGGTGTGAGGTAAAAGATTGCCAGCATTCATACTGCACCTGGATAGGGGCAACCAGCCCCCCCACCCCCCCCTCCACTCTTTGTCCTACCTGCACCTTTCTCTTGTTTCTTATATATATATATTTTTATTTTGGTCTACCTACAAAACTTACCAATATACTAAGCACAAACACAACATTAGGAGCTACCAGAGGGGCCTTTATCACTCCTTCCACTCTCTCTCTCTCTCTATCTCGCTCTCTCTTTCTCCATCTCCAGCTGCCTCCCTCCCTCTTTCTGTATTTCTCTCTCTCTCATCTGTTTTCTATTGCTCATTCTCTCTAACTCAGACTCCCCTTTATGTTTCTCATACACCTTTTTACTGTCTTTATAAAACACCTAACACAAGTGTATAATAAGTACTAGTACACAGCTTTCACCAAATGCCCATCTATGTTAGAGCCAGGCCACATTGCAGCATAAAAGCACACAATTTCCGATAATGAAATAAGCATCATCTTCAGTGCGAGTGGCACTCAATATCAAGCATATGTATCTTGATTAAAATATATCTGATAGTATAACTGGTCATAGATCACCAAGTGCACTACCGCAAAGCCCAAAATGAAATATGATTTTGGCTTTATTTTGTGGTGGGAAAGACTGAATTTATTGCATCAATCAACCAAGGTTAAAGTGAAAGTTAGATAATTTCTTCTGAATAAAAAAATCGAGTCATTACCGTATCACGTTTACCATATTATTGCACACATTATAAAACTGGAAACAAGTTTCTACTAGTAATTGAATACAAACAAAAGGCTTTCTGCTATCTATGAGAGACACAAGTGGCCTATAATCCACTCGAGGTTCAATTACAAATATTGCAGATCTGTGATAAGAGAGGAATTACAGCTTAGCCAGTTTAATGACAAGTGTGTTAAAAGTTTTGCTGAAGTAATCCAAGATCATGTCAAAATATTCTGGTGCTGGCTCAGTTGAGAATATAGTTATGCTTTTGTCAAAATCATGTTTCAGAAATCTGGGAAATATACTCGAGTTGTAATTATCTCTTTATTGATCACATGGCTCATCATGACGCTGTATCCACACATATAGTGCATATCAATATTACCAATTATTACTCATCTGCACTGGCTAGCCTCGGCTGGTTCTAAATAAACATTTGTTTTCTGTCTTTAAATTCCTACCCAGCAGTACTGTCCGCGACAATATAAACTGGGTCCATTTGGCCTTTGAAAAGGACGGGCACACAAAGAGTTCGCGCTGCCAGCAGTTCATCATAAACCCAGTCACAGCCAAGAGAGGTATCGAGTTTCACCGACTTGGAGGTCCAGAGAAAGACGACAGCACCTGACTGGACGAATTATTTCAGAATTTTATCCAGAACTCTTAACAACTTGATCACTTACCTTCAAGAAGCACTAACTTGTCCATGTTGCACCTCTAACGTAGTTTATATTTTGTGCGCGGTTTTTGATCAAGGCGTCATCTTCCAAGCTTAATAATCCCAGCGTATCCAAAGAAGATTCTCCCCGATCTCTCTAACACATCCCATGAAATTTACATGCTCACTTGACCTACTTTGACCTCCCTTGTTTCAACCAATGGTCGAATGTTTCTCAAAATTCGTAAAAGTCCTTGTCATTGGACAAGAAGTGGAAGAGCTGAATGCTTCTTTCTCTTTATTCACATGTAAGCCTGGACATTTATACACATGAGTGAATAAAGCATTTTGCTAAGGTACCCTCAGGATAATTGTAGTGGCCATTTCTTCTTATTTTGTTGAGAAATTGCAATATGTTTCTCACTTCCGCCATGCGTCAAACTCTGCGCAGATAGCTAAAAGTGAGCCACGTGCAGAGTGAAAATGGCGGCGGCCAGTAAGGATTAGCATTGCGATAAAGATCAAGGTGTAGTTGTCACATACTTCACCACCGATTTTGATTTCTAGCTTCCGTCAGGTAAGGTGAACTTTTGAATTTTTTGAAAATATAGGTCTTTCTCAAATTGCAGAATTAAATAAGTTACCAAATAAAGCAAATTCATTGTAATATTTGATCTGCCACAGTGCGAAGTATATCGGTGACGATCGGGTTTATTATTGCGGCCTAAAGATCTCGTTACCTTACTCTCACATTATACCATATATATATATATATATATATATATATATATATATATATATATATATATATATATATATCATTTAAAAATTGTATATCGGCTCTTGTTGATTTATCATTTGCAAACACATTTTCCATTGTTAGATAAAGTGTAGAAATGGCACAACCCCATGGCATTTTAATTATTTTCTGCAATACTTCCTAAACCGACATCGATTTCTATCTTGTTGACAGCGACTGCCATTTTGCTCTGATCCAAGATGAAAGATATTCCAGCAAACTATACCAGTGCATTGGTCCCTTTTGCTGCCCCCTCCCTGGACTGCCTGGAGAATGGAAGAAACAGTGCAAATGAGGACCCGTCACAATCGTGTATTTTGTCTGGTGTTATGAAAAGTAAGTATGGATTTTTTAAAATCTATAGCACCTAGATCATGAGTTTTGTAATGTTCACATTATTACTTGACTTACCCTGCGTCGATGTTAGTCAATCTCCTGATATCCAGGAATTTTCTTGGAACCTCAATTTATGGTGCCTTTAAGCAGAATGCTATTTATTAACTGTGCGTGCATCTCCTAAATATCTTGTTCTGCGCAGCTTCCTTTGCACTTTGACCCCAGGCACTAAATATCTCAAAACAACTTTAAATTATTGGCATCTTCCTTGTAAAGAAATTTAGAAATACATTTACAATGTGCACAATATACAATACATTCAGAAAAAATTAAAATAAAAAGTCTTGGGATTACTGGTGGCAGAATATTGACTGACACGTCCCCTGTTCTGTACTGTGACCTTGTGTTAAAATTCAAGTGAAATTACTGAAACGATATCTTTATATTGCAGGTGGCAGATTAGCCTGGATCGCAAGAGGAGATGCCTTGGAAGTCGTGAACATTGCCACAGGAGCCAGAAAGGCGGCTTGGAAGTTTGGTGCTCTTCTTCAAGAAGAAAGAAGTCCCACGATCACCTGCGTAGCAGAATACAGCTTTGCTAATGCTCCAAAGCTTCTGATTGGTTTAGAAACAGGGGTGCATGCTGGGATGCTGTGCATGTTCGACGTTAAGACATCCAAAGTTGTGAAAGCTGTGGACTTCATGCACAAGGTAATAGTCAGGAATTTATACCAATTTCTAGATGAAATGGTTTTGAGCTAATTTGTTAGATTTGGCATTGTTTTGTCCTAATTACTATGGAATGAAAAGTTTGAACTCGAATAAAGATGGTTTTTATTTGTGCGGATTAATTTAATTTTCTACAAGACTGTAATAAATGTTTCATGTTTATTTGTGTTAATGACATATATAAATTAAGCTTGGTATTTTCACCTAGGTGACAGCAGTAGAACCAGTTACCAATGTCCTTGCCACCGAGGCCCCCCTGCAAGTGCTGTCGGAACACCTTAGGTGTTTCTGTGGAGTGGTTGCCATAGGAACCCAATATGGCCACCTGTATTTGATTGGTGGGTTTCTGTAGTAGATTTTACTTGTTTCTCTTTTGATTAAATTTTTTCTTATTATCATTGTTATTTTTTGGTTCATTTTTATATATTTAGTTGAAACCCCAACAAGAAGTTAACTAATACACTAAGGCACTCAGCACATTGTCACATGATAGATGTAATTTGATGCATATGCCTTAAAAGTAATACCATTAAATGTATTAAAATTATTAACCTTTTTATTTTTGTTATTATTAAAATTAATTATTATTCCTTTTTAGATATGTGTCTTGATGATTCACATGATGATTCTGATGAGCTTCTGCCGCATGCGCTGCATGTGTTTACAACCAAGGCACGTGACGTGATGAGACGCAGAGATGATGCACTGACAAGAGGAAAGATTCTGGCGCTACATCTCAATAGTAAGATGGTGTATGAAGCTAAAGAATTGGCAGTTAGTGAAATAGGCCTGTGGTATTACATTTCTTTTTGGGGGGAGTGTTTTTCAAATAGGCAGTCTGTGTCAAAAACTTACACCCCATTTCCATAGATTAGATCGACCTACTTTAGATCGACCTAACTCCCTGGGGGTTCACGCTAAATAGCTGTCAGCCAAGCGGACACGAAAGTTAATTATCCCCTTACAGCTTGTAGTAGGCGGGACGGACATTTAAGTCGGATTATCTGAAAGTAATCTAGTGAGACTCCTCGCGGGGATAGATCGATCTAAAATCTATGGGAATAGAGCCTTAAAAACCTTATGGTACTTTCATTCTACTGACCCAAAGCAGCAACAGTAGCCAATAACAGCAAAAACTGAACATGCTTCTAGTCTGACATGTGGGACGAGGCCAGTATTTACATCAAAGATTGAGTGTGCCCTGTATCTTTAATACAGCAATAATAACTGCTTATGTCTGAGCAAGTTGCCCCAACATTGTGTAAGGAATAATTGAATAAGTAAAGATTTAGAAATATGAAATATGCTCATTGCCCTTCTTCCTGATTAAAATATTTTTTTTTTGCCTGTATTTTCAGATAATGCTCAAGTCAGAGGGACATTCCAATATGTCCAACCTGATGGAGAGTTGCTAGAGTCCTACATTGCAGGTATCTGAGCTTTTTTTNAGCAAAAACTGAACATGCTTCTAGTCTGACATGTGGGATGAGGCCAGTATTTACATCAAAGAAAGAGAGTGCCCTGTATCTTTTATACAGCAATAATAACGGCTTATATCTGAGCAAGTTGCTCCAACATTGTGTAAGGAATAATTGAATAAGTAAAGATTTAGAAATATGAAATATGCTCATTGCCCTTCTTCCTGATTAAAATATTCTTTTTTGTCTGTATTTTCAGATAATGCTCAAGTCAGAGGGACATTCCAATATGTCCAACCTGATGGAGAGTTGCTAGAGTCCTACATTGCAGGTATCTGAGCTTTTTTTTTTTCTCTGATTTCATATTTTTTATTTACTATTTCATCTTTTTATATTTTTTAAATTACTCAGGCATTGCAAAATCACTTTTTTTTAACTCCAGAGGAGGTATTTGTGAGTAGCCTGAAGATTGTTCACCCTATTGTAAATAAGCGTAGTGTAATTGCATCAGAATTGACAGTAGACTATTTTGTGCATCATTATTTTCTGCATTGTGTCTGTACGTTGGGCAGCTTTGCTGCTTTATATTTAAATTACCCAGAGATTGTAAAGTCATATCCCTTTTTTATTCCAGAGGAGGTATTTGTGACCAGCCTGAAGTTTGTTCACCCTATAGGTACTCTGATCGTGGGATTTAACTTTGGTTGTTTCCAGATGTGGAGGCTTTATGAACCTGTACTAGAGTAAGTGGAAGCTTGGAGAATAATGAAGTTGAATTACATCTTATGATAAATCATTATGTTATTATCAAAATGTCTTTGCAAGTGTCTTTTCTACCTTTTTCTTCAGTCAAATAATTTTTTTCCAAATGTAGTTTTTCTTCAGAAAAATAATGTTTCTTTCCTAATTGCTGACTACTCAAATTAGTTCACGTTTTTAACCAAACACTGCATTGGTCAAAAAGTAAATTGATTTAAAATAACTAAAACTTCTGTTCATTTTTCATTTGTTTGTTTAAGAAAAAATTCTATGTTTAATTTCTGTTCCAGTTTTAGCTCCAAGTTAGACATTGACGATGTGTGCCCCATAACACACTTTGCCTACCAAGAACCAGAAAATGATCCACGGAACTTCTGCTACCTTTGGGTTGCAAGAGGACCTCTGCCGTCTGATGCAGGGTGAGAAGATTCTCATTGACTCAAACTGTCATAACCTAACACAATAGTTATTTAGATACATATCACATTGACAATGCCAAACAAAATTTTAAAACTAACAGGTCATTCAGACCACTCACTCAGTTTCACTCTATTTATATTATTGTATAATTTTATAGACTGCCAGTATTTACTCAGATTAGTTTGTCTAGATTACATAAACCCCTTTGATATTTTGTCATTTAGTAGACTAGTTTTATATTTGAAACCCCATGTTCTTTTATATAAATTATCAATATTAATATATCTTGGTCTTCCCAGGCAGGACATTGTCAGTACAGTCCAGCTATATCAGCTCTCCTTTCAGCGTAGGATATGGTATGACAGTTATGGGGTGCTTTATGAGGTGAGGAATAGGAACTAGACAGCAAAGCTAACAAATATACATTTGCATTGCAGTGAATATGTATTGTGTATTTTTAAAATTCCTATGCTACACAAACATCATAAGTTGCCAAGGGTCGATTGGACCATGGCATCAGATATATATATATAAATTGTATATATATGAGTCTCTCTCTCTCATCAAGTATTTCTATTTTATCTCTTTCCTTTCTCAAACCCCTGTTACTTTATTCCCTCTATTCCATAATATATGTTCACTTCCAGGACTTGTTATCTGTGGGAGTTAGACTAGAACACGAGCTGCTTACGACCAACCTAAGTGCCTACCACGAGAATGTGGGGAGTCGTGTGATCTCATGTTTCACTGTGGAGAACCAAAGATATCAGAGGCCTCCCAGGATAGAGACTGAGGACTCCTTTGATGAAGGTGATATAACAATTGTGTTGGAGTCTCATAAGAATTGGAGACTAAATGTTTTTCTTTTTCATTCAGGCCAAAAAATTCATTCAATTTTGCCCTGAAATGAATGGGCATTATTTTACCTGTGATCTTGTCTTCTTTTATCCTAACTGAAAAGTTGTATTTAGTTGTGTGCAGAAGATGTGTAATACACAAATGATACTAAGTAGGCAAGTATCTTAAAATTCTTGAATTCATGAACAAGACTAAAAATTGACCTTGCACATCTCAAATTAAATGGCTTATGTTATTTATTGGAGCGTCATATTTCATGATTTCCCTCCTCCTCTCCCCCAGGTGCTCATGGACCAGACCTTAGTCTGTGTCTATTTGCCTGGGAGGTGACGTCCTCGGCAGACCCCAGCAAGACCACCTGTTATCTGGGACTCTTTGACATGAACCGCTGGTACCATGCCCAGATGCCTGTGGCTGTCAGGTAGGTTAATTTATGTGACCTAAATTGGTGTACTTATTTATGTGACCTAGATTTTTTGTTTTTATTATTATTATTATTACTTTTTTTATTTATTATTATTATTTTATTTATTTTTTTTTTTTAACCTCAATTAAATGTGAATTTTCAACCAAACTTTTAACAAAGGGATTATCTTTAGTTTTCAGCAATGTTGAGAATAAGTAGAAATTTTGTGGTTGTTTGTTTAACAGTTTTTCATCAACTTGCCATTAACAGGTTAATAATTCATATATATATAGAATTTGATCCATAAATTTCTATAAAATTTGTATTTATACAAGCTGTGCCTATTTTTCAGATATTCTTCCGCCCACCCAAACTTGTGTGCATTTTTTGGCATGTTTTCTCTAGACAATGTTGTCAAGGTTACTGAGCCAGATGACATTTTGGTAAGTGTTTTCCACAGTTTTCCAAGATTTGCATTGTTGCCAATTTTGAGTAACATCTACTTGGAGTCAATATTTGCTTCTTTCATTTTTGTGTTGAACTTGCTGCAATGCAAAGGCATTCATGCCATCTGGTTTTAACTGTAGAGTTGATGTTATACCTGGTGTAACATCAAATATGATATTGTTATGGTTGTGATAGTGGTTTCATTAAATGTGATAGTTGAGATGGTGGTTGTGACACACTGTGTTTTCTCCTCCAGGCTGTCCATGTGGACTGGGACACAGTAACTCGCTACCTCTCCCACTATGTACCTCCGCCAGAGCTGCAGTTCTTCCCCTCTTCTCTAGCCTTCAGTGAGTATTAGCTTGGTGTGTCACCACTGGGAAAAACTGGGGTACAGAAAAATAATTTTTTTTATTTATTTATTTATTTATTTATTTATTATATATATATATTTTTTTTTTGCTTTTGAGACACCAATGTCTAGCAGAAATTAGCCAGGAACCGAACAAATATTACAAAGTTTTATCAGCCCAGTTGTGTATTTATTAGCAATTAAGTGAGGGGTCAGTTAAACTCTAGTGGGGTGGTGCTATGGCAAGTGCTGTAACACCTACCAGTATTGATGTGACCTTTAGATGTATGGTTGAAAATGTGATGTTTTATAGGTAGAAGATAACTTTTAAAGCCTTTTTAGTTTAAGAAAAACTTTTAACCAACACCAAGAAGATGTAAAAAGATGTAAAAAAAACTCATTATCACCATTTAAATTTTTATTTTTTGCTGGTTAAAATATGTCTTATTTCTAGGTGCAACTTGTGTGACAGAGACAGGAGTGATCCAAGCAAGATTCCTAGGAATTCAGAGACAGGTAGGGAACATGACATACATTTTGGAAAATTCATAAAACAGTATAATCATTAAAAAGATTCTAAGCTACTTAATGTGTTGTAATAAACTTTAACAAGGTGATTATACCATCAACTGTTTTTGATTAGAAACCTGTGGCAAAAATTGGCATAAGTTGTTAAGTATTGTTTACTGTAAATGCAGCCTAGGAATAAGAACGAGAATTTTTAGCAGTACTGTGATATATGTGACAAGTATAAAACAACATATCGACCCTTTCCATTTTCCAGCTGAATAATATACACAGGCATATTAAGATCTTTCTGACCAACAATGATATACCTCCTTCTGCAACTTATTGGCCAATTCGTGCTTACCTTTAATACCTACGTTTTTTAGTAAAAAACGGTCTCCTACCTGAGGCACTACACCACACGCCTGAAGGTCATACCTACTCTTATTGTCAGATCTTNCACATCTAACACAATAATTATTTAGATACATATCACATTGACAATGTCAAACAAAATTTTAAAACTAACAGGCCATTATGCCACTCACTCAGTACAGGTCATTATACCACTCACTCAGTTTCACTCAATTTATATTATTGTATAATTTTATAGACTGCCAGTATTTACTCAGATTAGTTTGTCTAGATTACATAAACCCCTTTGATATTTTGTCATTTAGTAGACTAGTTTTATATTTGAAACCCCATGTTCTTTTATATAAATTATTAATATTAATATATCTTGGTCTTCCCAGGCAGGACATTGTCAGTACAGTCCAGCTGTATCAGCTCTCCTTCCAGCGTAGGATATGGTATGACAGTTATGGGGTGCTTTATGAGGTGAGGAATAGGAACTAGACAGCAAAGCTAACAAATATACATTTGCATTGCAGTGAATATGTATTGTGTATTTTTAAAATTCCTATGCTACACAAACATCATAAGTTGCCAAGGGTCGATTGGATCATGGCATCAGATATATATATATATAAATTGTATATATATGAGTCTCTCTCTCATCAAGTATTTCTATTTTATCTCTTTCCTTTCTCAAACCCCTGTTACTTTATTCCCTCTATTCCATAATATATGTTCACTTCCAGGACTTGTTATCTGTGGGAGTTAGACTAGAACACGAGCTGCTTACGACCAACCTAAGTGCCTACCACGAGAATGTGGGGAGTCGTGTGATCTCATGTTTCACTGTGGAGAACCAAAGATATCAGAGGCCTCCCAGGATAGAGACTGAGGACTCCTTTGATGAAGGTGATATAACAATTGTGTTGGAGTCTCATAAGAATTTGAGACTAAATGTTTTTCTTTTTCATTCAGGCCAAAAAATTCATTCAATTTTGCCATGAAATGAATGGACATTATTTTACCTGTGATCTTGTCTTCTTTTATCCTAACTGAAAAGTTGTATTTAGTTGTGTGCAGAAGATGTATAATACACAAATGATACTAAGTAGGCAAGTATCTTAAAATTTTTGAATTCATGAATAAGACTAAAAATTGACCTTGCACATCTCAAATTAAATGGCTTATGTTATTTATTGGCGCGTCATATTTCATGATTTCCCTCCTCCTCTCCCCCAGGTGCTCATGGACCAGACCTTAGTCTGTGTCTATTTGCCTGGGAGGTGACGTCCTCGGTAGACCCCAGCAAGACCACCTGTTATCTGGGACTCTTTGACATGAACCGCTGGTACCATGCCCAGATGCCTGTGGCTGTCAGGTAGGTTAATTTATGTGACCTGAATTGGTGTGATAATTAATGTGACCTAGATTTTTTGTTAGATTTTTTTTTTTTTTTTTTTTTTTTTTTTTGTAACATGAATTAAATGTGAAGTAGTTGACAAGTAAAAATTTCAACCAAACAAAGGATTTATCTTTAGTTTGCAGCAATGTTGAGAATAAGTAGATATTTGTGGTTGCAGTTTTTTATCAGCTTGCCATTAACAGTTAATAATTCACATAAATATATATAGAATTTGATCCGTAGAATTCTATAAAATTTGTGTTTATACAGGCTGTGCCTATTTTTCAGATATTCTTCCGCCCACCCAGACCTGTGTGCATTTTTTGGCATGTTTTCTCTAGACAGTGTTGTCAAGGTTACTGAGCCAGATGACATTTTGGTAAGTGTTTTCTGCAGTTTGGATGGAGCTTCCTTGTATTTGCATTTTTACCAAAATTTAGTAATGCTTACTTGTCAATATTTTGCGTCTTTCGTATTTTGTGTTGAACTCACTGCAATGTAAAGGCATTCATGCCATCTGGTTTTAACTGTAGAGGTGATGTTACACCCTGTGTAACATCAAATATGATACTGTTTTTGGTTGTGATATTGGTTTCATTAAATGTGTTAGTTGAGACAGTGGTTGTGACACATTCTGTTTTCTCCTTCAGGCTGTCCATGTGGACTGGGACACAGTAACTCGCTACCTCTCCCACTACGTACCTCCACCAGAGCTGCAGTTCTTCCCCTCTTCTTTAGCCTTCAGTGAGTATTAGCTTGGTGTGTCACTCCTGGGAAAACTGGGGTACAGAAAAATAATTTTTATTTTTATTTATTTTTTTTTTTTTTCATCATTTATTTATTTATTTATTTTTGCTTTTGAGACGCCAATGTCTAGCAGAAATTAGCCAGGAACTGAACTAATTTTACAAAATTTTATCAGCCCAGTTGTGTATTTATTATCAATTAAATGAGGGGTCAGTTTAACTCTAGTGGGGTGGTGCTATGGCAAGTGCTGTAACACCTACCAGTATTGATGTGACCTTTATTTGTAGGGTAAAAATGTCATGTTTTATAGGTAGAAGATAACTTTTAAAGCCTTTTTAGTTTAAGAAAAACTTTTAACCAACACCAAGAAGATGTAAAAAGATGTAAGAAGATGTAAAAAAAAACTCATTATCACCATTTAAATTTTTATTTTTTGCTGGTTAAAATATGTCTTATTTCTAGGTGCAACTTGTGTGACAGAGACAGGAGTCATCCAAGCAAGATTCCTGGGAATTCAGAGACAAGTAGGGAACATTACGTGCATTTTTGAAAATTCATAAAACAGTATAGTCATTTAAAAGATTCTTAGCTACTTAATGTGTTGCAATAAACTTTAACGAGATGATTCCTGTGGTTCTTCCAGCTGAGCATTTTCTTCCAATTTTGTCTCCTGATTCTTCATCCTCCTCAGAACTGTCTCTATTACGAAGGGTCATAAAAAATTGCACCCCTGAAGAATTGTCAGAAGACCCAGAACTTAATCTTTTGGAAACACTTTTTGTAACTGCAAAGCCACCTTCTTCCTTTTCTCCTTTAACTGAGAAACTAATGGGAAAAGTCAGGGGCAATAATAAATTTCTGTGTGCAATTTTTAGGTCACTCTTCCCATTTTCCAGCTGAATAATATACACAGGCATATTAGGATCTTTTTGACCAACAATGATATACCTCCTTCGGCAACTTATTGGCCAATTCGTGCTTACCTTTAATACCTACGTTTTTCAGTAAAACATGGTCTCCTACATGAGGCACTACACCACTCGACCGAAGGTCATACCTGTTCTTATTTTCATATCTTTTCTTTTCCATTCCCCCGTTTTGTTATCCCATATGCTGTTTCCATTCCGACTTGTGACTTACCTATGTGTTCATAGTCTTCATGCTCGTCCTCTGTGTACAGTCTGAACATAACATCTACTGGGGGGGGGGGGGGGGGGGGGGGGGGGCTGAACATTAGGTAAAAGGGGCTGTACCCAGTGGCAATTATATGCATGTACTAATGAAGACACATGGGTTTTCCAGTTTTCTTTATGTTCATCACTGAGAGTTTATCAAAGTTCTGTTGAACCGTTCAGTAACTTCATTTCCCATTGGACGATAAAGACTTGTCCTAGACTTCTCCACACTAAGTGTATTACATATTTGATTTTTTACCTTACTTTCAAAGTTTCGCCCCTGATCACTGTGCAATCTCAACGGAAACCCTTAATGCACTATGAAATTGTCATACAGTACCTTTGCTGTGCTCTCTGCTGACTGGTTCTTCATTGGTATCAACAATGCATATATTGTAAACACATCCGTCACTACTAAGATGTTACTTTCCTTTCCCCATGATTCTTCTAGCCCTAAAAAATCCATAGAAACCAATTCCATGGGCTGTGAAGCAACTAAGTGGTCCATTTGAGCTCTTTCATGTAAAGGTGGGCTCTTCTCAAGCTGACATGACCTACAATTCTTCACTTTGTTTCTCACAAAGTTAGTCATACCTGGCCAAATAACCCAATCTTTTAAAGTAGAAAGAGTTCTATCTCTACCTTGATGTCCCATATCATCATGACAAGTAGAAAAAATCGATTTTGCCAAGATGTCGGTATTACCAACCGATTCATGTGATACAAAACATCATCTCTCACCCTTAAGCTTCTTCCAGGATCTCCGGAAAGGCTTCATTCTTTCTGAAGGAGGAAGGTCTTTTAACTCACCTCAGGTACCAATCACTTCCAATAATTGGGCCATTCTCGGGTCCTTCTCTGTGTCCTCCAATTTCGTGGTCGTACGTATTGGGATTTCAGGGGGGGAAGGGTTGTCCAAACCTACGCCAGGGACGTTCTCGGGTCCTTGTCTATCTCCTTCCTATTCGTAATTGTGCAAATAAGGATGTCACAGTCAGAAGGAGGGTGTACAAGCCACATGGGTAGCTCTCCACACTTATGTTTACGCACTTGTTGGCAATACTTGACGAGAAGAGTTCTGATGCCACGAATGTCGTAAAAAAAGTTTCTCTGAAGGTGCATAATGAGCACTCCGTGTATCTTCACATAACAGTGATTGCGAAAGAGATTGAAAACTTACCAGACATGTGGGCTGGAGCAAATTAAAATTTGTCAGCCCACACCTTTTTTTACCAGCCCACAATAAAATGTAATAAGACGCAATAGACTACATAAAGCTTCAAGTTTAAACATCCTTTATTTCAAGTTTTTAATTATGCTCAACAGGTAATACTAATGTAAGTAAAATGTGTAAAAAGTTCACACTTTGAAAATGTATAACTTCCAGAAAAAGAAGCCAATTAGACTGCTTTTCCAACTCAGGCTGCATTTTAGTCCTGTTTTTCTATTTTGAAAGTTTGGCAATCATAAATAACATGGTTTTCCCATAATGGTCATCATGGCAGCAGCACCCAAAATTGTGTTTTCTTCTTTTTTAATGCAATATTACATAATGCTTAACATCTGTGTCTGTACATAATATTTAAATCAATCGTGCTGGAAAGGTTGCCAAAA